TTTCAGGATTCTTCTCACTGCTAAGTCAGCTTTGAGAAACAAAGGGGTTGCTGCATCTCCAGAATGGTGCATTTCCTGGACTGTAGTGTAACTAACTTTAATGATCTGGGACAGTGTATTGCAAATGCCAGGCCGATGCCAGGTGGATGCTGAGGGCTGCCTGCTTCTGCACTTCCTTAAAGGACCCAGGCAGGCACTAATCTGGGTCTCTACTGCCTCCTGTGGCTTGTGATTAGGTTCCATTCCACAGTTCTTGCAAGGCACTGTATCCCTTCTATGGCTATCTATGCAGAATTATCTGAGTCTAGGGAGTGGCCACTCCTGTCCATGTAGTGCCTGTAAAAGGAAGAGAATGGATGGAGCAGTTTGGCTGAGAAGTCAGAACCTGAAAACTGTATTTGCTGCTTCAGCTGCTGCTCTCAGCATCAGCAAGAACACTCCCAACACCACATCTAGTGGAAGAGGTGGCCAGTTCCTGGAGGAGGCATCCCGTCTCTGTCTCAGGCTCAGTATGCAGCTCTTGGGCAAGTATGACTGTGGAGGGTGCCTGTGGAAGAGCACACCAGGGACAATACTGATGGCTTCTCTCACTGTGAGGGTCTGCCCTGTGTTCAGAGCCCCAAAGCACACAAGGATCCAGATGCTATGCCTGAAGAAATAATCTAGGCAGCAACTACACCAGGCTGTTGACTCTGCCTGGTCAGAACCCTACATCTCAACTAGGCTCATGAAGAGACCTGTAGCAAAGTCTTTCTAACAGAAGACTTTATCTTTTTAAATTTTTGTGAATATCTGCATGTTCTTTGGTATTAAACTATTGCCCAGGCAAACTGTATGATTTGCTGGAAGATTGATTGCCCAGCACCTTAAGACTTAATTTTGGGGGAAATCTGTTCCAGGTATCTTTCTCTGAAAAAGCTACAGTTTTTTCTGCAACGTTGCAGTTAAAAATGAAAAGGGAATGTTGGATCCCAGCCCCCACGGACCTCTGTGCATTGCTTGTCAGCTGATAACCACAGATGCATCCTGTTCTCTAGTCGTGGCTTACAGCCCCGGCCTTGCCCACCTGACATCAATATCTAGCACGAGGAAAACAGGAGCTCTTACACCTGGGATTTCTCCACTGTGCTGTAAGTCTGTATATAAGCCTGCTCATTCCTTACAGCACACACACAAACACACCAGCAGACACACAGGCAGACATACAGCACTCAGAGACACAGACACACATGCATTCATTCTCCTGGCAATAAAGGCGGCAGATGCATTCTCTTAGTACAAACAGTTGAACTTCTTGTCTTTCATTTCCCGATACCTCGAACTTGTTCGTGACATGGACATCACAAGTGGAGGTTCCACCAAGATCAGGAGCCACAAGGGAATTGAAACAGCTATAATTTCAACCATTTTATGATACTTTGGGGTAAACAAATTAAAAGTGGCTCTCAGAATATTTAATATATAATTATTAAATATATTTTCAAAGTTTCAATTATTTAGGAAGAGTTGCCCTGTAGGGCAAAGAGATTATAGCTGCCACTGAGGATCTTGAAGTGGGGAGACTGACCTAATGCACATGGGTAGTCCAACATCATCACAAAAGATCTTGTTAGTAAATGAGGGAAACATGAGAGTTAGAGATATGGGTAAGCTCCACCACATCTCCATGGAGACAGAGAGTGCCATTGAATTACAAAAGTAACATTTAAAAGAAAAACAATGTTAAAGGAATGAATATATACTAATTGGAAGAGATAAAATCAAGTCCAACTTATCCAAATAGAGAGAATTCCTACATCGAGAGAAATCAACAGAGGTGAGTTTTAAAAATATTTAGAGGTAAAGGTGAAAGTAATATGATAGGTAGGATATATAAGATGCCACTTAATGATAAGAGCAAAGTATATCAACACAAGTGCCCTCCATGTACCAATCTATCTTCCATACCTACAGGGTGATGATGATTTAAAATGCTATTAAACTATCTGCAAATATTGGTGATTATAAGGTGGGAAGATAGAAGACACTTCCCTAGGAACTGGGGAATCTCAAAAATGTATTAGACATACAAAACATAAAAACATGACAATTTGGATGCATCCACAGAACATTTAAAAAACACTGATCATGTGACTCTGGAGCACCTGAAAGGAGGCTAGTAAAAATGGAGACAAGATGTAAATAAGACTACATGCTGACTGCTTCTATTTCCATTCTCAAGAATCATGTGAGCTCACATCCAGGCCTTCCTAGAGAGCATCACTAAGGACTAGTGGGTATAAAGTCCCATTATCTTGCCATTGAAAATCTGAAAGCAATCTATGTCTACTTGAATCAAGTCACAGCTCATGTTTCCAACTTCAGGATAATCACACCTCTAGAAAGACAGTACCAAGACAAGTAAGCAGTGTTGGTGGGGTCCCACTTCTCCACCTCAATCCAAGGACAGACCCCCCAATATGGCATTGCAGTCCCCGCAGTGACCACTATAACCCAGAAATGTCAGTTATAGACATCTTGAGAACTGAAAATATCAGAGACAAATTGGAGAATTGAGGGCAAAAAAAGAAATTCCTGGAGAGCTGAGACTAATGATCACATTAAAATGAAATATTTAGAAAACTACAATATTGTAAAGATAAATTATAGCTCCAATGAAGACCTGAGAGAGGGGCTTCCTGCTACCACAGTTTATGCCCCCAGGGAGGACCACATTGGACAAGATGGGCCTGGGGTAGTTGAACATAAAGTCCCCAAGGAGCAGCTGTACTGATGCATGGCTGAGAACCTCCACCAAGGACACCTCTCTGCAAAAAAGCTCAGAGGTGAGACTTTCAAAAGGAGTGAAAGATATGTGACATATGTACTTCATGGTCAGAGGGTAAGCATGTTCTTGACCCTATTCAGGAAGCTAATGTGGTCAGAAAGCCTTATGATTAGCATTGGGATGTATAAGGAGTGAGGTTGGACACTGTGGCCTCAAAGTCTATTTCACAGGGCATGTTGCAGAAAAACCACAGGAAGAACACCCACGTACATTGCAAACATAAAAAAATCAGGGTCTATTAACACCACATCAAAAGAACTGTAGTTCAGATGTGGGACCAGGGTCTCATTGTGCTGCAGACCTGTGAAAGTTCTCACACGGAATGTTGATAATTGTTTTCTTACTTCCCATTATTTTTAAAGGCACTCTCATAGAAAACTGCATTTCAAAGAAAATTAGCAATTAGTCCAGAAGGTGATGTCTCTATTTTCCTTGGTGTATGGAATGTCAGAGGTTTTCAGGGAGAAGATGTCCTCTGCTTTGATGTACACAGAAAATCCGGAGCGAGGACCACAGTGATCTCAAGCATTCCCTCACAATGGTCTTCATGCTCAGCCAGTGACTGTCCTCCATGGGAATCACCAGCACCTTACCACCTTCAGCCCAGGGAAGGGAACAGAGCAGGAGCACCAGCCCTGAGAGTCCTTGCAGAGACACCTGGAGTCCCATGGCCATCTCGAGAGAAGCCCACAGAGGCTAACCTTCCTTACCCATCTGTGTCCCAAACATGAGTTTCTTCATCTTATATAACCATGAAGTCACCTTGCACAATGGCATGTCATTGGTAGAGGACAATGCTCACCTTCAGTTAATCATTGCATAATAAACTCATGCCTGACCTTCACTACTGTCCTAGCCTTCTGCCTCTGTGCAGAGAAAAACAGCTCTTATCACCTCTCTACTAGAAAGACTCACTCAGAATGGTTTCTTCTAGTGCCATCCATTTGCCTGTGAATTTCAAGATTCCATTGTTTTTTTTTCCGCTAAGTAGTATTCCATTGTGTAAATGTACCACATTTTCTCTATCCACTCTTCAGTTGAGGGTCATCTAGGTTGCTTCCAGGTTTTGGCTATTACAAATAATGCTGCTATTAATATAGTGGAACAGGCGTCCTTGTTGTATGAATTTGCATCTTTTGGATATATGCCTAAGAGTGGAATTGCTGGGTCTTGTGGTAGATTGATTCCCATTTTCCTGAGGAATCTCCATACTGATTTCCAAAGTGGGTGTACCAGTTGGCACTCCCACCAGCAGTGGAGGAGTGTTCCCCTTTCTCCACATCCTCTCCAAAATTGTCTTCGATGTTTTTTATTTTAGACATTCTGACAAGAGTAAGATGCAAACATGGTATGTACTCACTCATATGTGCATTTTAGACATGGATCAGGATAGCGCCAGTCTGCAATTCCACTGACAGAGAGTCTGGGAAACAGGAAAGAACCTCAGAGAGATATGCATGGTACCCCAGAGAAGAGGAATGAGGCAAGATCTCCTGAACAGATTGGGAACACAGCAGGAGGTGGGGTGGGGTGGGAGCTGAGAAGAAGTGAGGGGGGGAAAGGAGGAGAGAGTAGGTCATGGGGAAAAAGGAAGGTTGAGTGGGGGGGGATAGAATAGGATGAGAACAGGATGAGAAATACCATAATAGAGGGAGTCATAGGTTGGAAGAGAGATCTGGCACCAGTGAAACCTCTAGCGATCTAAAAGGATGACACCAACTGGCAAGCTAAACAATAATGGAGAGACTACTTTAAATGCCCATTCCTGATAATGAACTTGACATCTACCTTATATGCCATCCTAGAACCTCCATCCAGTGACTGATGGAAGCTGAGGCAAACACCCCCAGTTAAACACTGAACTGAACCCATGGAATCCAGTGACAGAGAGAGAGAAGCGATGAGCAAATTAGCAAAGACTGGGCTGGCGAGGCCAGCAGAGATAGCTGATCTGAACAAGGGGGAGCTCTTGGACCCCAGGCCAACAGCTGGGAGGCAGCATGGGACTGATCCAGACACCCTGAGTGTGAGAATCAGTGAGGATGCCTGGGCAACCTATTATCCCTGGCATACAAATGGACTTTGTGTGTCCATAACACAAAGAGGGATGATCTCTCAGCCTGGACTCTTAGGGGAGTGCCTGGACCCTGCCCTGAGGGAAATGGCAGACTCTGGATATCCCCTATGTGGAAGGAAGTGGGGATAGGGTGGGAGACTGGGAGGCTGGTGGAGGGCGAGCCCTTCTGTTTTCCAACATTTAAGTGAGGCAAATCTGTAAGCCCCCACCTCTGAAGATGTCAGTATTTCTTACAAATGAAGTGGCTTACTTCTTGTGCTGCAGAGGTGGCCTTGCATTTCTTTCTTGAGTACTCAGGTCTCCTGGGAGCCCACAGCAGTCTTCCCAGAGAGTACCTTAAAGCACACACATCAGCACTGCAATTGGCTAGATTCTTCCTCCTCCTCCGGAAAGACTGAGAATGACACTCCTTGTGATGGGTCAGCTCACAGCTCACAAACTCCATTCCTGCAGGAGCTTCACCCCCAGGAAGACATGTCTGTCTGCTATCTTCAAACTTGCAGTCACCCTCCACATCTGCGCTGACAATAAATACACTTGACTCTGCTTAGCTTTCTGGGAATTTCTCACTCCACTTTCTCCCCAGACTTTCTCAATAAGTGTAGACTCATTCCCTCTTCTCGCATCTCCCCTAACCTCTCTCAGTGTGTCCTCAACCTCCACCAGCTCATGTGACCACATACCAGGAAGTTGTTGATGTCAACAGGAACAAATACAGAAGCCTATGCTCTGTCTGTGTTCCTCTACTTAGCAAAGGAGAATAATTTCAAAAAGCCTGGATATTGTTTCATATGAACTGTTCAACCATTTTACAATTTAGGGATGTTTGTTATTGTGGGAATCTATGAAGCAAAAATACCTGAATAAAGCAATGGTTTAACATTAAGTAAGAAGGGGAGGTAAATCTACCAACTTAAGCAAGTCCAAGCACTAGGCATTTACTTAGGAACTGGACAGATTTAGAGGCAAGCTTTGACACACAAAGCATGAAGATGAGCAATCTGAGTGTGCTGTTTGATCTACGAGCGTCATACTCAAAACAATACTGGGGCGCCGATGATGAAGAAACTAAGATGAACCATGGAAACACGCTGTACTTTGCTTCTCTTCCAATTTCCAGATACAGACCAAGGCAAGGAGATGGTAAGGGAGAAGAGCTGCTCATAGAGACTGGAGAATAGAAATCCAGGGAGGACAGATGAGCTTAAGGACCATCAGGTCAAACTGATTGGTGCCTTAGCAGAAAGTCCTCCCAGCTTTGTGTGAGATCCAGGTAACTGCAGACTTACTGCAAAGGAATTGCCCCTCCCTGGAGCCAAGATCTGAATCCCAGACACCTGTCCCTGAAAGTCTGAGAGCAAGTTCAGCGTCTCTGGTCATCCCCAGATTCTGGATATATCACGTTCAGGAGACACTGTCATGATAAGTGGGCATGATCAGTGGATACCCACCATGGCTCCTCCACTCTGCTAGAGATCCTCACGATTGCCCCCACTCTTCTCTTTAGACACTCAAATACTGATACACCAACTGAAGAAGCCTTAAGGATTTAACTCACCAAAGTTCCTGAAAGATGACCAGGTAAACGAACAACTCAGAATGAGGACATTAGGAAACCTATATTGGTGGAACAGACCTTGGAAAAAACTGAATACAGACCTGAGAGAGTGGCTTTCTGATGGCACAGTTCATTCCCCCAACAAAGAACATATTGGGCATGATGGGCCGGGGGTACTCAAAGACAAAGTCGAACCTAAGGAGCCATATGGATGCATGGCTGAGAATCTCCATAAAGGACACTTGTCTCTGCAAAAGATCCAAGGCCAGGCTCTCATAGGGTATATAAGAGAAATGGAAAATGATCTTGAATGGCAGGTTGTAGAGAATGTTCTTGACTCTCTCCAGAAAGCTCATGTGGTCTGAATTCCTTGTTAATAACCTTGGAACATATGAGGGAGGGCTTGGACACTGGGCAGCCTCAAATTCAACATCAGAAGGAATGAAGCGTAGAAGAAACACAGCAGGAATATTCAAATATTTGGCCAGCAGTGCCCCACAGGGATACTCAGGGTCTGTTAGCACCACTTCATAGGAACTGGAGTTCAGATGCTGGATAAGGCCCGTGTTGTGCAGTAGACTCGTGCAACTTCTCACATAGAATGCTGATATGTTTTTCATAAGTTCCATATTGCTTAAGAACATCGTGACAGAATATTCATTTTCAAAGAACATTTGAAGAAGGCTCAACAAGTTATGTTCATATTCTTCCTTGGTGTATGGAACAGCATAGCTTTTCAGAGTGAAGAAATCATCTTCTTTGATGTACACAGACACATCTGGAGCCAGGACCACAGTCTCATGGCCTCGGGCATGGAGCTCCCTCACAATGGTCTTCATGCTCAGCCAGTGACTGCCCTCCATGGGAATCACCAGCACCTTCCCACTCTCAGCCCAGGGAAGGGAACAGAGCAGGAGCACCAGCCCTGAGAGTCCTTGCAGAGACACCTGGAGTCCCATGGCCATCTCGAGAGAAGCCCACAGAGGCTAACCTTCCTTACCCGTCTGTGTCCCAAACATGAGTTTCCTCATCTTATATAACCATGAAGTCACCTTGCACAATGGCATGTCATTGGTAGGGGACAATGCCCACCTTCAGTTAATCATTGCATAATAAACTCATGCCTGACCTTCACTACTGCCCTAGCCTTCTGCCTCTGTGCAGAGAAAACAGCTCTTATCGCCTCTCTACTAGAAAGACTCCTGTCACCTGCTGCGGCTCTCTGATGAACCTCAGAGACCATCCTTTCTCTCCTCTGACTTCCACAATAAAGATCTGCACAAGCTTGTCATTTCATCATGTTCTTCTCTGTCAGTCATACATCAGAAGGATGTCTTTGAGCATTGAGCAGTGTCTTATGACTGGACACCCATTATAACCTCTCCACTAATCATGACACACTTGGTAGCTCTTTAAAATCTCACTTAGCATTCTCAAGAAACAGTGAGTTGTAAAACACAGATCGCTGCTAAGCCATCTCAGACAAACAAAGGTTTCTTGTTCTCTAGTTTGGCGGAAGGATTCTGTAGCTGAAGTGTGGGCAGCTGTTTAATGGGGCAATGCTGGAAGGATCTTGAATTCATGACTTGAGGATTTAATTCCACAGAGGATAACCCTCCTTACCAGTCTGAGTTTCTTCATCTTGTATCACTGTCAAATCACCTTGCACAATGGCATGTCATTGGTAGGGACAATGCCCACCTTCAGTTAATAATAAATCCATGCCTGGCTTCCACTACAGTCCTAACATTCTGCCTCCACTCAAGGAGAGGCTACTCTGAACTCCTTACATCTATGGCTGTTCTTGAACCATCAAGAGTTTACCTCTTCCCCCACCCCCACTTTTCAAGACAATTTTGTGCGCACTCATTTCATCATTCCCTTCTCTCTCAGTCATTGAGCTCTGAGGAGTGCCTGATGGCTGCATCCCCAACACAGCTTCCCCTCTCTCCTCTGGACACAGCCAGCTGAGCAATTCCTTAAGGTCTCTCTTTCCATTCTCAAGTAGTAATCATTACATCATACAGTACAGACCGCTGATAGGCCAGCTTGGGAAAAAGAGAATATCTTAACACTCCAGTTGGTGCAGTTACTAGCATGTAATGATAATTATTAGGAACACTGAATATGAAGTGATTGGCAGATATCAAATATGGGAATGTTTGAGGGATTTTGAACTCATGACTTGATTATTTGAATCTCCTCAATGCTTTGCGGAAACTTTGCGGAAAGTTTGATAACTACTCTATGGAGTAAAGTCCATGCTGTCTGAAGCACACCTGGGCAAGACCGTTCTATGAAAAGAACAGCACCCTGCTTCCTCACGGGAGCTGTTACCTCGGTCTACTCACCAGAAGGATCCTACATCTGGCCTGGGATCTCGGCTCATCTGAAGTTCTGTTATCCTTTATGATGAGGGCTATAACTCCCTGTCTAGGGGTCTGGCTGGCTGACACTAATCTGGGCCTTCACTACCTCCTGGAGTTTGGGATCAGTCTCTCATTCATGATCATCTCAGCTGTGCGTTCTAATATGGATGCTTTCTCTGATAACCTCATGGGGGTGCATTTGTGTGCAGCCTGTGTTCTAACTTTAAAATGGAAAAGGCCATCTGAGCTGAGTCGGGCAGGTCTGCAGATCACATATAATCAGGAGTCTGGTCCCCACCCCCAAGTATTTCTAGTACATGTGTTCAGCAGTTGCTTCCATGTCTTGGTCCTACTTGTCCTGAGATTCCATTGTCTATTAGGCATGTCCCGGGACTGTCTAGCATCCCACCTCAAGATACCTGAGACCTTCTGCAAAGTCTAGTCAGCTATGGTTGTACAGAGAGAAGTTCCCATGTGGAGAGAACCCACTGCCTTGGCTAATTGCTCTGATAATAACAGAGTCCACTACTGGGCAGATGTGTATTTGCAAAATGCTTCCTGTGGACCACCAGGTGTCACTGTGAAACAATCCTTTGTGGCTCTACAGCTGGCTAAGAGTCCAAAAACAGCTTCTTTGTTGTGTTTTCCTGACTCTTTCTCCAGTCCTTAGCACTTCTCTTTATGGTTTCCCCTATACTCAGTTTCTGACATTCCACGCGTACATCAAATCCTATCAGAGACATAAATCTAGATCAGAATCTTGAAGAGGCACATAGTAGATATTAACTATAGTATTCTTGATTTTATGTCTTTAAAGATGTTGAGAAATCCTGGATGCTTATTTGTTCTTGGCAATAGGAAAGGTGTTTGTCACAAGACTGTCAGTCTTCCATTTCATATTTTGTTAGAAATGTTGGGCAAGGTATATGCTTTCTCTGAATAATTTTTAACCATGCTTTCCTTTTTTACAACTTCATGGAGAAGTCTGTTAAGAATATTAATGATACGTTGGGTTTAAATAGAAAGCGGAGATGGAGGTGAGTATCTTTAATCTCAACACTATGAAGGCAAAGGCAGCCCAATCACTTCCAGTGAGAACTATTCAGAGCTAAACAGTGAGACTGTCTTAAATAAAAGCAATATGACTTTCAACTGCACATAAATGATGAATAGTCATTTGGCCACTAAAGTAGATATCATTTAGACTAATAGATAATGAAAATGTGACATATATACACTATGAAATACTATTCAGCTGTAAAGAAAAATGAAATTGTAGAATTTGCAGTTCAATGGATGGAACTAGCAAATATGTTGATGCATCCCAGGTCCACAAAGACAAATGCCACATATTCTCCCCCATGGGTAGTTCCTAACTATACATCCTCAGATGTGAGGGTTACACAACCTGGAGTAACCATTGAAACTAGGAAAATAAAAGGTATCCTGTAGATAGGTGGAGGAGCAATAGAGGGAAATAGCAGAGAGCAAATGATATGAAACGGGAAATGGGAAAATTTGGAGGGACCTTAAGGAGGTAAAGGAGATCAGTGCAAAAGGACAGAAAAGGAGGAGGGGGGAAATGACACTAAGGATGTTTGAAAAGCCATAAGGAATCATATTATTTATTCTTTACCCAAAATCACTCATGATACATATATATGCATATATATTATAAATTAAGTTCAAACACGTGGGCTAAAAATTCCCCCAAGAGCCATAGTCTATATCTAATAAAAATCCCTGTCCCTGCCTTTTGAGCTGTCAGTCAGGAGAGTCCAAGAGATTCCCAAACAATACAAACTATTGCTGTTGCCTTTAGTTGCCTCATAGAGGTTGAAGGTAAGTCCCTATTGTTGAAGACACCATGCAGTTTGGTCACAGGACTTGGAGACCCAAAGCTGGATATGACCTGAAAGCCCCTCCCTGAGGACTAACTTTAGTAGTTCTGGAAGGTGCTAGGCAAGCTGCCAAGGAAGGGAATTGGCCAGAAGTCATATCCAGTTGTGAAACCTACGAAACACAGCAATGACCAACATGGCAAGACATCCCTGAGGGTGCAATAGTGGTACTTGTATCTTGGTGACAACAACAGTTCTCCAATTGGATTAAGACCTACTCGACAGGATGGAAATCATGCATGGTACCAGAAACCTAGCTAATTACATGAGGCTACTAAGGTCATGGATCTTAGAGGAGCACCTACTACTGCCACTTTGCCAAGCCAGCATAATGCCTAACTGTGTTCTAAATATTTATCCTCAGACAAGCAGATAAGTGTAACTCCTGACCCTCACTAAAGAGGCTTCTTTTTGCACAGAGACTAATATAGAAAGTCAAAATGCAGATTACAAAATGCAGATCAGGGAGTGCCCAGCCTTAGCAGACAGGTACTTCCACAACATAACTGCTGCACATAAGCAAGGCTCAGGGAACCTACCAGAAGGGGGAACAGACAAATTTAAGAGTCAGAGGACCAAAACAGAAAAGAAAATCTGTCGTGAAACTGTGTCCCCTAGAAATGACAGGAAAACTTCACCCAACAATTAAACAAGACCTGAATAAGGAACTAGCCTACTAACACTAGCACATGCTAATGTGGAAGCGGGACTCTCACGCAGTCCCACCCTTATACAAAGAACTACAGGCAACGAAAGGATGCTGAGAGTGGGAGAAGTCTTCCCCTAAGGAGGAGTCCCCAAATTGGTGATCCAACACCAAACTGTCAGCCCTGAAATCATGTACATGCAGCACTGAATGAACTCAGTAAGCTGTATTTGTATGTTTATACACACACATCATGTGTGTGCATATATAATCAATTAAAGAAAAGGAGGTCAGGAAATTGAGAGCAAATGAGGGAGTGGGACATGGGAAGAGTTGGAGTAAGGAAAGGGAATGTAATTAGATTTTGACTTAATAAATGAAAAAACAAAATAAATTTAAAATGATGGCTTTCAGTTATACATAAACAACGAGGGGCCATTTGATAATTGTTAAAACATCGATCCAGATTTAGAACTTAGGGAAATGTGAAAGGGAGTGTCACTAGACTCCCATTACCTCCAGTGTAGTAGTTTAAGTCAGTTCACTTTTTTTTAATCTTTACAGTTTTTTTTAGATCAGAAACTGGTTCCAGGACTACAATCCTTCTAAAGGCAGAGAGCAACATACTTAATTGAGAACCCAAGGCTCCATGGTGGTTAGTGGCATATTAGCATGTTGTTCGGCCCTAGCTTGGTTCTACAACAGTGTTAGTGGCTGGAGAAGGAAAGGACACTCCACTTAGGCACACATGTCTCCCCATTGCCGCACAAGTGCACAGACCAGAGGAGAAAGCTGCCTGGATGAGGCAGTCCACACTCATCTGAGAAGTCCATGCTGGTAACACAGTCTATGCCCCACACTGATGATTTTTGGCAATGCTTACCTTGGGATAGTATAAGCAAACTGTGTAAGACATTAAACTGAAATGAAAATGAAATACAGCTAAAAAGACAACATTTCTTAATTCTCTTCACATAGGTAAAAGGACCTAAACATAATGGCATAAACTAGGACCCTGAGATAGTGCATCTGGTGTCTTTTGAAGTATAAAATAGGAAATCAAAGCAGTAACTTAAAACCTCCAAATTCAGCACCTCCCAGGTCCACATGAAGAACCTTTGAATCTCCCCAGACTTTCAAAGAACTAACACCATTACTTCTCAAAGGACCCCACAAAATAGGTAAGGAAAGATGGCATTGGGACTCCTTATGGGGCCAGCATTACCTTGATTCAGAAACCACATAAACATGTAAGAAAAAAACACAAAACAATCTCTCTGAACTTCCCAATCAAATACTTGCCAATTAAATTTAAGAACACATCAAAAAGATCAATCATGAGATAGTTGGCTTTATACCTGAAGTGTAATGTTGATTTAACACAGACAAATCAATAAATTCAGAGTTTCACTAACGTGGACAAAAGGACTGAGATCACAGGTCATCCAAAGACTTTTGGCAAAACCCAGGATCCCTTCATACAAAAAGCCCTGTAGACACTAAAAGTCAGAAAAGCATATCTCAACATGGTATAAGCTATGTGTCACAAAACTGTAGCAAACATTACAGGAAATGGGCAGAAATTCAAAGCACATCCACTAAAATCAGAAACTAAACAAGGTGTCAATTCAGTGCCAGGATTCTTGTCAGAGTAAGACAAAGGAGAGAACAGAAGTCATAAAATAAAGGAAGACATCAAAGTGTCCTCAATTGCATACAATATGGCTGTACAAAGAAGCAGCCCTAAAGATTTCCACCTGAACTTCTGAGAGGTGAGAAACACTTTCTTCAAAGTGGTAGGATATGAAATCAGCAGTTGCCTTCCTAATCACAATGACAAACATTGTGAACACAATCAAGGACCACAGTAACAATTGCCTCGAGAAAGAAATACCTTAGGATAGGGCTAACCAAGGCTGTGAAAGAATAAAGATTCTTTTAAACACTGAGGGAAGACTTAGAAGACGACACTAGGAAAAGGGTTAGACCTCCTGTGCTCGTGCAACCAACAATGGTGATCTGAAATCCCTTGATCACACTGAGCCATGACCTGACCTATCATGAGGAGTGCTACCTGCAATGGTCAGGTCATGGCTCAGTGTCTGTTCCTACCCAGATTCAGGAAATCATACCCTCTGGAAAATGGTAGACAGACACATGGACAGTCTCAGTAGAGACACACCACTGCTCTTCAGTCTGTTAGGGACCTTCACCTCAGCCACTAGTCCTACCAGTGGCCACTGGAAAATAAAAGGATTTGAGGCTGGAGAGACGGCTTCTCTTCCAGAGGAATTGAGTTCAATTCCTAGTGCCCATGTGGTGGCTCACAGTCATCTGTAATTCCAGTTCCAGGGGATTCATTTCTCTCTCTCTGGCTTCCACAGTCACTGTCTGCATATGATATACAAACATACACAGAGGCAAAAACCCACATACAAAGTAAAAACAGAAAGACCCAATCCTAATAATTTATGTCATGAAAAATGAGGAGAATCATTTAAAAGACTAGTAAGAAAGTTAGCATTAGAAAATACATTCTGCATAGAATAGTGATTGATTAATGGCTTCAATACAGACCCAAGAGAGTGGCTTCCTATTGGCACAGTTTATGCCCCCAATGAAGACCATGTTAGGCATGATGGGCCTGGGGTAGTCAAACACAAAGTCCCTTCGGAACAGCCACACCGATGCATGGTTGAGAACCTCCACCAAGGACACCTCTCTCTGCAAAAGCTCAGAGGCAAGACTCTCAAATTGAGTGAAAGATACGTGGCATACGTACTTCAAGGCGAGAGGGTACAGCATGTTCTTGACCCTTTGCAGGAAGTCCATATGATCAGAAAGCCTTGTGAGTAGACTTGGAATATATGAGGAAGGGCTTGGACACTGTGTGGCCTCAGAGTCTTTGTCACAAGGTAAGTAGAGCAGAAAAAACACTGTAGGAATACGTAAGTACTTGGCCAACACTGCTCCACAGGGCAAAACTGGGTCTGTTAAGACCACATCAAAGGAGCTGGAGTTCAGATGCTGTATCAGTGTCTCATTGTGCAGTAGATCCAGACAAGACTTGAAGACATCTGTTGATATGTTTTTTATAGCCTCAGTTAGTTTAAGGAATGTCTTCACATAGTTTCCTGTTTCAAAGGCCAAGTTAATGTTTTGTGTAATTTTTCGCTCATATCCTTGTTTAGTGTATGGAACAGCGTAGGGTTTGAGAGTGAAGAAGTCCTCTTTTTTGATGTGCACAGAGACCTCTGGAGCCAGGACCACAGTCTGGTGACCATGAGCATGAAGCTCCCTCACAACATCCCTCATGCTCAGCCAGTGGCTGCCTTCCACAGGAATCACCAGCACCTTCCCGCCTTCAGTCCAGGGCAGGGCACACAGCAGAAGCAGCCCCACTAGTCCTTGCAGGGGCATGTGGAACTCCGTAGCCATCTCTGTAGAAGCTCACAGGAGCAGACCTTCCTCACCAGGCTAAGCTTCTTGCTTTTGTTTCTTCATCTTACCTCCAGCCCAACCTGGCCATGTCATTGGGTGGCACAGGATCCCAGACATTAATCATTGAAGAATAAATCTATCCTTGGCTCCTGATCAAACCTACTTCTAATCCACACAGTATTGATCTTCTTGTTTCTTTCTTAGAAAAACGGTGACAGGACATACTCTCTCTTTAAGGGACATCCTAATAGATATCTTGTTTTCCTCCAATTTAAAATTAAACAAGGCTGTGTATACCCATTTTATTTCATCACTTCTTTCTCTGCTAGCCACATTCTGACAGACTGACTCTGCACTCTGAGCAGTGCCTGGCATTTTGATCTACAATGTAGCATTTCTGACTGTAACCCTGTTAGGTAAGTCTCTACAGCCTCATTTCCCCTCCACAAGGAGCACTCAGTACACTATAAGACAAGGACCATTGCTAAGTCAGCTTGCCCCAGAAAAAGAGGATTTGTAGCTCTCTGGTAAGCTCCATTTACCTAGATATCTCCATAATAAGCAGGGAACTGATGGGGAATGTTCTTCTGTGTATATATTTATCTTATTTGTTGATGAATAAGAAACACTGATTGTCCAGGCAGGATGATAGGTAGGACTAGGAGACAAAGAGGATTCTGGGAAGTGTAGGCAGAGAGGAGTCATCATGTGATCCCAGGAAGTGACTGCCACCAGCTAACCATAGAGGTCTGGAAGTCTGTACAGATAGACAGGAAGTGGGCAGAATCAGAATATAATCAGGGACAAACAGGAAATCGCTCTCTTCTCTTCTCTGCAGAGACGCTGGACAGTCGCAATGTAGCAGGCAAAGGAGCTGCAGGTCTGGTAAGCCCAGACTACATGGAAACACATGGATAAGTAGTTATAGGTTAATAATTAAGTCAGAGCTAGCCAATAAGAAACCATAGCCAATAGTTTTATAGTTATTATGGTGTCTGTGTCCTTCATTGGGGGTAGGGAAAGGTGGCAGGACCTGCCAGGCCAAGAAAACCTCACGTTACAGGAAACACTTTTTGAAGCTGCTGGTTGTCGCCACATGTGGGAATAAAGGAAGATATTTCAAACTCAAGATGAGATGACTTGATTGTAAAGCAAGGGCTGTTGAGAATTCTGTGTGCACCCATAGATAAGAGTCACCAAAACCTAGGCCAGTCCAACCTGGGCAGTGATGTAAAGTGGGCTTAACAAGCTGTTTCTCACGAGCGCCTCAGTTTGCATTAGCCTGGGATGTGGCTCAGTCTCAAGTTTATCCTCCTGGATTCTGGGGGTTGCAGACTTCTACATTCACCCTGGCCTCTGAGTCTTCCCGGTGGACATTGCAAACCTCAAGTATGCAACTACAAACATCTCAATACTTTACCTCATCAAAGACTGTTAGAAGAGACAGAAAGATCTTTGGAAAGATTAGAAATGGAAGAAATTAGAAAAAAGGTCTTTAAAGAATGGGTGCTGCCTGAGCCATAAGTTGGGCAAAGGCACCACCAGAGACCTGGCACAGTAGTAACTTCTTTCTGGGATGTGTACATCACCAGTACCTCGTCATAGGGACAAATAGGAACTCTTAAAACTACACCGAAGGAGCTAGAGCTCAATGCCTCATCAGAGACATGTGCAGCAGAACCAGGCAAGACTTCATACAGAAGGCAGACAACTTTTTCAAAAAGTGCCCTCAGGTGTTTCAGACCAAAGAATTTTTGAAAGCCACCAAGCAACCGTACTTGTGGTCCTCCTTGGTGCAAGGAATGGTATAGGCTTCCAGGGTGGGAAAAATACTTTCCTCTGAATTGTGACTTCAGCTCTGGAGCCAGGACCACAGTCTGGTGTCTGCCTTGCATCTCCCAACACTCAGCCAGTGGCTGCCCTCCATAGGAAACAATGGCACCTTTGCATCCTCAGCCCAGGGCAGGGCACACAGCAAGAACAGAGGCCTTTGTGAGTGCTCGTGTGGGTACATGGAGTCCTGTTGCTGTCTCTCCAGAAGCCCCGGGTGGTGGGCCTTCCTCACCAGGTCATATGCCTCCTACATTAGTTTCTTTATCTTTCTCATCTTACCACCAGGTCACCAAACAAGTGGGTTGACACTGGACAGCACGGCATTGCCCTGAAGTTAGTCATTGAAGAATAAATCCATTCCAGTTCTTCACCACTGACCTATCTTACAGCCTCTCCAAAGAATCTGACCTTCTCACTCCCTGCCTAGAACAACTCCCATGATTCGCAGCTCTTACCAAAGGCACCCCAGTTCACCCCTTTTCTTCCAACTCCTGAGGAAGACTGTGGGAAACCCATTTCATTTCATGACTTCCAATCTTATTAGGCACATCTAACAAGCTGCAGTTAACAGTGTCTGATGCCTTGGTCCCCAGCGTAATCCCAGAGTTTTGATTTGAAGGGTCCTTTAAAGGCTCATAGTTGAAGGCTTGGGCCCCACCCCGTGGCACTATTGAGTCATTGAATGATGAGGACACCGACTCTCTCCATGAATTAATCCTTAGGTATATTTATACTTGACAGTCCTTTAAGGGAGTGGGTTATAGATGTGGATATAGGTCACTGGATGTGTGTCTTTAAATGTCTCTTCTCTCTGAACTCTCACTGTCTCACTCTGCCTCTCAGCTATCGTGATGTGAGCATCCACTCCCTGAGACCCTCCTTGTCATGATGTTTCTGCCTTGCCAAAGGCCTAAAGAATGCAGAGCCAGCCTACTATGAACTACTGATGCTTCTCAAACCACAAGTCAAAGCAAACCTGTCCTACTTTAGCGTATTTCCCTTAGGCCCTTGCCACAACTGCAAAATGTCTACTTGGTGACTTTTAAGTCTCTCTTCCCATTCTCAAGAGCACCTGGTACATTACAAAACAGAGATGATAGCTAAAGACAACTTGAGCAAAACAAAGAGGTACCACTGGCTTCCTGGCTTGGTTCCTATACTGTACCAAGAGATTTATTCATAACGACTAGGAACACTATTAGCAGGTGCTATCTGCTGTCACAAATGGGATTAGCTGGAAGGAACCCAAGCTCAAGATCCCATGACATAAATCTACTGAGGGGACTATTCTGAATTCCATATCCATGCAGTGAAATAAGAGCTGTCATTATCTGAAGCACACTTGAACAAGCCAGCCCAGGCAGTTACACACAGTGGATTGACACAGCATTATTTCTCATGGACTGCTCACCATGGGACCAAAGGGAGACAAACAAGGGCCTAGGATCTCACCAAATGAGAAGTTATGTTCTGAATGCTGAGGGCTGCAGCCCTAATCACTCTATTTAAGAGCATGGATGGACAGTAATCTGGTCCTCCATGGGGTTTGTGATTAAGACCAGTCCCAAATACTGATAAGGAAGGAGTCTCCAAGAACAACACGAACTATATGATTTATGAACCCTGTGCTCAAATTTCAAGATGAAAAAAAGCCCATGACCCAAGTAGGTCAAAGTTCAGGAGGCCAGTCCTGCTCCATGGTACCACCTCACAGGTACCATGTAGATTGTTAACATCTGGCATTGTGAGTCCATGCTACCTGAGCTGTCCATCATTCCACTTCAATGCAGCTATACCTTCCTGCCCAACCTGGTCCTCTATAGTTAGACTCTTAGGAGAGAGTTGCCAAATCTAGACGTTTGCACTCTGTTTAGATTCCACCACTGATCTTCGTATGTATCTTATACACCTCCTGTGATCCACTTCCTATGATACACTTTCTGTGTATCTCCAACTCACATTGTACAAAAGCTTGATTCTCTTGCTTGGTCTCCCCAAAGCAACTTCAGTGTTCTCTCTTTCCTCTGTCCCAGCCACTTCTGGGCATGTTGTCCAAAGGGCTCAATTTTTGTCCTTCTACATGTGAGTCAGAGTGTGCCAATTGCCTTCTAATAAGACCAAAACAACATGGCCTAAGTCTAGGTTGTGGCCACTCATGTCCTTTGCAATGGCCACATCACAACAGCGAGAAAGGGAATGAGGTGATTGACTGAGAAATCGGAAGTTGACACCGTGTTTCCTTCTCAGGATGCTACTGTTAACATTAGAAAGATGGGGCTGACAACCCACCCACTGAGCAAGGTAGCCATTTTCCAGAGGCAGGATGCCACTCCCTCTGTCTAGAGTTGGGATACATCTCATGTATACCCATGACTGCACTGAACGCCTCAGGAAAAGCACACCAGGACAGTGTTAGTGATTCTGCCACCTCCATAGGTGGAGACTGTTGTTGCCAGAAAGACTGAGAGCAAAATATTTAAGTCATTGCTTGGGGTTTAACAGTTGGTTAGTGGCATGTTAGGACTGGACTCAGCCATAAGTTGGCTCTACAACAGTAACCGACTTTGAAAATGGAAAAAGAGCTTTTCACTAAGTCCAACAAAACCAGTCCATTGCCATGCAGGGAACAGAATAGAAGGAAGATTTGAAAACAAAACTTATGGAGAAGTCGTCTCAGGGAACTGCTGCCCTGTTAGGCCCCGCCTAGAAAGATGTTAGTGTAGATGCAAATTAGACCACCTCAGCTAAGATGCAAATGAGACCATGCCAGCTAGTGAGAGCTTTACAAGTTGAATTAAAAGAGACTACTTACAAACTTCAAGTAAATTTCAAAAGTGTTGGATACATATGTTATATCCTAAAAAAATTAAGACTCAAAAATTAGAAATTAGAAAAGATAACTTGTGATCTTTAAATGATTTTCAAAAGTCGTTGGGAAATATTCAATGGTTACACCCTTTTTTGAGAGCACCTACTGGTGATTTGAAGCCTTTAAGTGATATTTTAAAAGAAGATAGTGATCCCAATTCACCTAGACAGTTAACTAAAGAGGGTAGACAAGTTCTCCTACAGCTGGAGAATGCAATCCAGCATCACGAGTATGTCATATTAACAATGCAAACCCATGGAAAACTTATGCTATTTCCCCAGCCAAAGTGTTAAATCCTTATTTCAAAGCAATAGCTTGTATGATGCAGAAGTGCCATGTGAAATCTAGGAGATATTTTGGCAGAGAACCAAGTGAATACATGTTCCTTATATCAAACAGCAAGTTGATTGGTTTTTTCAAAATAGTGATTTGTGGGCAACCACTTTTGCTCAATTTTCAGGAAAAATCGATAGTTTTCAACTCATAGACAGTTGCAATTTATGCTAATGCATCCTTTTATATTCCCCAAAATGGTACGGCATACTCCTGTAAAAAAAATACTATGTTCATTTTTACTGACAGTTCCTCTAATGAGAGAGCAGCTTATGTTATAGATGACAAAGAATATGTAGAGCAAACAGCTCCAGCTTCAGCTCAGATAGTTGAGTTACCAGCTGTTGCAATAATTTTTCAGCTTCTAGTAAATGATTCATTTAATTTGTATACTGATAGTCATTATGTTTTTAAAGCTCTTCAAGTGATAGAGACAGTTCCATACATAGGAACTAGTAATGATCAAGTTAGAATATCACTTGAGCAAATTCAAAACGCAATTCATCTAAGAAAATTGCCATGTTTTATGGGTCATATAAGAGCTCATTCAAACCTTCCCAGCCTCTGGCTGAAGGCAATGAGTCAGCAGATCGATTAACAAAATTGGTT